TAGTTAAAATCATATCATTATACTGATGCTGCAGTTAGTCTTCAAAATTGAAGTCACTGCCACACCCCAGAGGAACCGGAATGAGATGTTTGGGCACAGACTCTTGGCCATGCCTCCTTCGCCCCCAGCCACCCGCCTTAGCCCATTTACAGCCAGCTTTTCTCCTCCAATGGCCCTCCTCTGGTCATTCTCCATGGCCAATGGGCCCCTGGCCCTCTGCCCCTTGACCTTCATTCCTGCCCATTTGCCCAGACACTGTTTGACCCAGGCCTTTGACTGCATGGGACAAATAGTCCCCAGCCAATTGGGTAGCAGGCAGAAGCAATGATGCTGCGGGGCAGCGTGAGATTGATGATGGACAATCAGAGGGGTTGTGGGGGGAGGTAGTATGTGGTGCAAGTTGTTTTTAAAAAGTGCAAAAGCATCCCACTGCTTGGGGTCTTGCAGATCTGTCACCAGGACTGGAGGGGAGGGGCAGTGGTAGCATGGCAGGCTAACGAAGGTGGTGTGCACCTTCTGGCATTGTGTGGGGATGTGGGGGGCACAGCAGGCGAACAGCAGTGGCATGTGGCTTCTGACGTGGGGAGGCGTGGGGGGCCACTGCAGACGAAGGGTGATTTGCTCTCTGCTTTTTATCATCTGCCAGGCTAACGATTAACAAGGAACATTTTGCAAAAAGGTGATTTATGGTAGTCATTTGGAATACTTGTTGGTACCTAAATGCTTTTGTAAAACGGGAGGAATCTTTCTTTCACTCATTGTACCTGAAATTACAACTAAAGTAATGAATTGGGAGGAGCCCACCATTGCCACTCTGGCATGATGCCTAACAGACAGTTCGGCTGCCCCCCATTGTATGCCATCTCCATTTGCCTGCTGTGCCCATGCCCCCCACAATGCCAGAAGCCACGTGCTACCTCCATTCACCTGTCATGCCTCCCACGCCCCTCTGCAATGCCAAAAGCCATGCACCACCTTCGTTCGCCTGCCGCACCCTCCCACACCACCGCTGCAATGCCAGAAGCCATGCTGCCTTTGCTCCTCTTGCTCCCTTTTGTTGGAGCTGACTGAGTTGCAAGCCAAGCCGTCTTTGCGAATCCTCCTAGAGGTACTCCACCCCCCCCCACACTCTTCCCTGTAATTACAATCACAATAAAAATTGTACTTATACAATTAAAAATCCTAAATCTACTGACCACTTAACTTTACAGCAAAATAACTATCACCATTTTCAGCATATGCTTACCACTATATCCAGCTATGAGTCTGGTTTAAATATGTTTTCAAATCTTATTTGATGTTCCAATATTTGAGGGGCTGCCACAGAGAGGAGGGGGTCAGGCTATTTTCCAAGGCACCTGAAGGCCAGACAAGGAATAATGGATGGAAACTGATCAAGGAGAGAGTCAACCTAGAAATAAGGAGAAATTTTCTGACAGTGAGAACAATCAACCAATGGAACAGCTTGCCTTCAGAAGTTGTGGGAGCTTCATCATTGGAGGATTTCAAGAAGAGACTGGACTGCCATTTGTCAGAAATGGTGTTGGGTCTGCTGCTTGGGCGGGGTGGGTGGATGGGTTGGACTAGATGACCTACAAGGTCACTTCCAACTCTGTTAATCTGATGTGAAAAACATTTGAAATACATCTGAAATCCAGTGACTTGTCTGATGACATAATATTCAGATCCTTAGATAATTGATTGTTCTTATAGATGACCTATAGCAGAAGATAATGAAAATTGGGTTTTTGCCTTGGTTCTCTTAGATTACTTACTTAGTGATATCATAGCTGAACTATTTTGGGGACACTATTTTGCAGTGGTTCTATTCCTTTCTGAGCAGGATTTCAATGAGTGATGGTAGAGAAAAAGTCTTTTAATCCTTAGTTCAGTCCTTAGGCACTCCATGTGGGGGCCCTAGAATTTAGCCCTCTGTTTTTTAACATCTACAGGAAGCTGATAGGAGAGCTCATAAATCACCTTGGAGTGAGAGATCATCAATATGCTGTTCATAGCAGTTATACATATCCATCTTGGGTCAAGCAGGAGATGTGGTGGAAATCCTGACCTTCCGCTTGAAGTCTCTGAGAAATTTCCTTTTTCCATCTATTTTGTAATTAATCTATTACTTAAGTATTTGAGTGCCAGGGTGCATTATCCTATCAATGTGAACATCCCTATTTAAAACTATTTCATCTTTTTTTTTTCAGTGAAGAAAGTTTTAAAACTGGAGCAATTAAAATCCTTTATGTCATTATGTAGTGACAATACAGGCAACATATTCTGGACAATAGATACAATAAATTGAAATCAATAGATTATTTAAATAACTTTTAGGAACGGTGCCATAAAACTGAATATTTATGCAGTATATCAATTGATACATTTGGAGGTTGCAGCCCCAATACAACATGCCAGATTGGTAAAAAATAAACCAGAATTCTAGCAACCAAATATTGTACTAACTAAAGTATCCAAACGATTTTCAAAAACAGCTTTATTCACAGAATAAATTCACAGAAATTAAATTCACAGAAATTACATTGCATTACAGAAGTCCTGAGGTTTGCCAGAGTATGAAACCCTGTGGCCAGTCTATGATTATACAGGAAAGGAGGAGGGTAAGGAACCAATCAAAATTGGAGAAGGTGCTTCAAATGAGGCACGAGGGCCTTTAGTGGCAATATACCAAGTGGCATCACAGGTTGGATACTCCTTCACAGGTTGGATACTTTGCTTTCAGGACAAGCAGATTCTCATTTCAAACAGGCAATACATTGGTTTCCTATAGGCAGAAACCAAGCACCCATAGAACTAACCTGCATGTCTGCTTCTGGCCATCTTTCACTTCACTCCAAGTCTACTTCCTTCAACACTACTTGTTTTTTGCCCAGAATCCCAATGCTTAATGGGACAGTATCTACCACTTTCACAGTGCAACTTTCATCTGATTAAGTAGCAAAGAGCAGCAACTTATGCGCTTCTCTTTCAATTCCATAATAATTACCTCATCATTATCATCATCTTCTTGCACAATAATCCTTCAATTTCTCTTCTGAAAATTAACAATGATAGCTTAAAATTCCATGTACTATATTCTAGCCAATTTGTGGCTTACCTGAAGATTTTATCCCATTCTGCTGAAAATCAAATCAAATAAAAAAAAAACAGCTGTATTTTTTTTTTTTTTGCTTTGTTGTGGCTTCCTTTGCTAGACAATGGGGTGAATTGTTTTTGTTCAACTCTCCTGTAGAGTTATTTATGTATTTATCAAACTTGTATGCCACCCATCTCACCAAAAACCTTAAATTATCAATAACCTATGTCTAGTTTGCCATTTTAATAGTAATTTTATTTAAAAAACTAATACAAATTTTTAAAAAACAATAAAAAGAAAACACAGGTTTAAAAAAGAAACAGAAAACAGAAAAAATTAAAAAGAAAAAATCAGACTAAAGAAAAAAAAAAACAAATGACTTTCCTCTGCATCACAACAAATACAGATAGTCCTGACTTACAACAGTTCATTCATCTAGTTTGAAGTTACAACGGGACTGAAAAGAATAACCTATGGCCATTTTTCACATTTATGACCACTGCAACATCCCATGGTCAAGTGATCAAAATTCAGACAATTGGCAACTGACTTATATCTATGACAGTTGCAGTACCCCAGGGTCATGTGATCATCTTTTGTGACCTTCTGACAAGCAAAGTCAATGGGGAAGCCAGATTCACTTAACAACTGAGTGATCAACTTAACATTTACATTGATTCACTCAACAACTCTGGCAAGAAAGGTTGTAAATGGGCAAAACTCATTTAAGAAATATCTCACTTAGCAACAAAAATTTTAGGCTCAATTTTGATCGTAAGTCAAGGACTGCCTGTATAAATAATTTTATAACTTATCACCTCTTAAAATACAAGAAATGATTTCTTCTTCTCCTATCTCATCTCTTAGCTATAAATAAATCCTTAAAACCTTGTCATTGCCACCCTGATCAGCAAAAGTCCAAAAATAACACATCTTTTTAATCTTACCAAATACCACCAATTTTATGTTCCTTCCTTTTATTTTTAATAATCCTGATCTTAAGTCCTAAAACATTTTTTCTTTTCATGTTTTCTTTGTTCCTTCTCACAAAATTCTTCAAGGCCTAATTTGTAAATTCAGTATAAGAAAATTATTCAGATCACTCTCTTGGTTTGTGTTTGTATACTCCATTTAATGATTAAGACATCAGCCAGTTTCTTTTCTATGTCCAGTGTAGCATGTTTTTCCATATCACTTTTAAATGATATGGAAAAACTTTCATTTTTAAATCCACTTTCAGATCAGTCTCAGTCTTGTTTGATAACTTGTTTCTCTTTCATAACATCTTTAAACAGGCAGACTCTTGAAATTAATTTCTGGCTCCATTATTCAAAAATATTCTTCAACATGTCCAATGCTAAAATATTTTGCTCCCTTATGTATACTGTAAGTCAAATTTAAATGTTCTATTTTAATTGTAATATTTAGTTCCTTCTAGTTCCCTCTAATGTCAAACTTTCAAAGTCCCATCCTATCATATTTTCTCTAAAAGAGGCAAAAGCACACCCACCTCAATGTTTTAAAATCCTTAAACTTGTATTTAAACTTGTTTCTTTTATGGACTGAAGGAAACTCATCCAGTGTTTTCAGACTTGTCAATCCAAAGTCTCTTAATAGCTGAAAAGCAGTTAACAAGCAATTTCCAAAAGAGATTAGAAAAAGTATAAAATCCATGTTCCTTTGAAAGTGCTGAATATGGTTGAGCAAGATGACTATTCTCTTATCTCCCAGAGTTCTAAAATCACCCAAGACCACTGTTTTACAGTCTCCTTTCAAAGGAGAACTGTAAAACTGTCTGGGGCACTTATGGGTGATCTCAAGTCCTCTCCTTATATGGAGGGAAATTACAAAGTGCCTGTCAACTGTCCAATTGGCAAATCCAGAAAAAGAAACTCCTGGGACATTATTTTACCAAGAGTACAAACTTTACTGAATAAATTCACATTGGCACAGAAGAAACAAAACCAGCTTTGGGCTTCCCATGCAAAAGCATGCATAGTTCATTCCCCCTTTTCCCCACGGGCCACCCACAGTCTATTATGTCTACCAATCACTTCTTTTATTTTATTATTGGAACTGGCCAGCCCCGCTGGGACATCTGCTCAGGGTGTCCTTGAGGGGACAGCAATGTCTCACAGGAACCAACAATGCTTGGATGCTATTCTCCCCCACCCTTGCATTCCAATCCACAACCATCCTATTCTTTGTCAAGCTGCATGCGAAGCGGAATATAGGTGAAAGTTCTAATCAGTCTTGACATGCTGACCCCCCTGGAAGAAGGGTAGACCTGAAACAACAATAAACATACATACACATTATTATTTACAACCCCACTACTGCTGCATTTCTTATTGGGGCCATTGAGGGTATCTAGTGTGAAACCTCTTAACTAACCTCACTGCCCTAACATCTGGAGCAGCTGCCCACTCAGCTTCTGCTAATGGGTAGCCTTTCCACAGTACTAGGTACTGTAATTTTCCCTTGTGATATCTGGAATCTAGAATCCTTTTGATGTCATAGTGCTCCTCTCCCTTAACTAGGATGGGAGCAGGAAATGGTTCTTTGACTGGCCTCAAACCAGATCCCAGGTTTGAATGGTTAAAATACTGAGCCCATACTTAGGGGATAGCTTCCTTGGTGCCTTTAATGCCTCCAGGTTCTTGTGGTCCGCCCAACTTCGAATGGAATCTTACTGCCCACTAAGAACTGCCTCCAGGTGAGAAGAGCCCACGTAAGCCTCCTTCTCCCAGATGGCCCACCTCCTCTCAGTATCAGACTTGCAAGATATGTAGGAACATGATTGCAACTTTCCCTTTTAGTTCCTCTGAAGTAAAACCACCCCTATTGCCACATCGCTGACATCTGCTTGGATCAGAAAGACTCATCTGCGTTTGGGTGCTTCAAGACTGAATCAGCAGCAAAGAGCCGTTTCAGCTTTTTGAAGGCCATTTGACTTTCAAGGGACCAATTTAGTGGCTGACTCAGTTTGGGCTTCACTCTCCCTCCCATCTTGAGCAAGTTGGTGATGGGCAGGGTTATCTGGGCAAACGTGGGGATGAACTGCCAGTAAAAGTTTGCAAATCCCAGGAAGATCTGTAACTGCCTCCTGTTCAAGGGGCCTCCCATTCCAGGATTGCTCTCAACTTGCCTGGGTCCATCTTCACCCTATCTTTGGAGATGCGGTACCTCAGGTAGTCTAGGCTGGTCTTTTGGAACTCACATTTGGATAGCTTCGTGTATAGCTGGGCTTTGCACAACTTCTCAAGTACTGTTCTCACTAGCCTTATGTGGTCTTCCATGGTCTTGGTATAAATTAAGATGTCATGTAGCACCAGCACTCCTTTGAACAGCTGTTCATGCAGGACCTCATCTATTAATTTAATGAACACTGTGGTGCCCCTTGCAGGCCAAATGGCATCACTGAAAATTGGTACCAAACCAGAGGGCAGTTGAATGCAGTTTTCCACTCATTCTCCTCTTTCATCCTCACTCAGTCCAGCTTAGTAAAGATCTTCCCCTTGGCTACATAGCCCAGCAAGTCCCTCATGAGGGGGCGGAGATACATATTCTCCATGCAGATTCAATTCAATCCTCAGTAATCTACGCATAATCTCAGAGACCCATCTTCTCTTTAAAAAGTAGCGGGGCAGCCATCCTTGACTTCACTGGCTGGATAAATCTCCTAAGTTCTTGTCTATGTGCCTCCGAAATTCCTCCATCTCCCTCAGCGTCATGGAATACATCTTCGGCTTGGGTAATTTAGCCCCTGGCAAGATTTCAATAGCACAGTCTATTGGGGCAATGGGGCGATGGGGCAGGACCATGTCCGATTCCCATTTGCTGAACACCTCTGCTAGGTCGCAGTATTCAAAGGAAATGAGCAGCTTTAACTCCTCACTTCCTTTCAGTGTATTCGCTGACTCCACTTTCACTTTCCTAACTGCCGGCTCGTGCCTGGCATTCGGCATTTTCGCTGGCTCCTGCTGCTTAGCCACTTTTTTCCTCATTCACCACTTGTTGCTCTCCCAATTTACTGATGGGTTCCATTTTTTCAACCAGGCTAGTCCTAGGACCATGGTCTCAATTATTCCAGGAGCCACAATAAAGCGAATAGTCTCTACATGGGTCCCAACCCTGAGGCTCACTGGCTTCATTAGGTAAATTCCTGGTGCCCCTCCCATAAGTGAGCCATCTAACTGGGAGAACCCCATGGGCTGCCTTAATTTCCTCAGCCTCAATCCTAGTTTCTCCACTGTCAGAAGGCTAATTAGGTACTGAGTACCCAGTTCAATAAGGCCAGGAGGGCCCCCATTACTCATGAGGAGGGCACCCTCTTTGGGTCATCATGGTGTCACTTATAATCGGCTCGTCTTCCCCTTCGCTGTCGTTTTTTCAAAAAAGTTTATTTCTATATTTTCACATTACATGCATAAGTACTTAGTGAACAGCATATTGTCTGGATCAATTTATTTATATACAATAATACTTTTACCACTCCTGATTTCTACCTCTACTGTCCAACCATTTATAAAACAAGTCCCATGTTTGAAAATATTCTGCATCTTTTGTTTTTAATGTCAATCTGTCAATTTCTATGCAATCTAAATTTTTTTTAGTTACATCAACCTCTGTAGGGGTTTCCTCATTTTTCCAGTACTGTGCAAATACAATTCTTGCTATTGTCAGGACATGTAATATTAAATATAAGTTCCCTTTTTTATACTTTTCAGGTATAATGCCTAGCAAAAATATTTCTGTCTTATAATCTATGTGTTGTTTTAACATGAATTTTTATCCAATATTTCTTTGCTTTTACACATGTCCACCACATATGATAACACGTCCCTGGTGTCTGGTTACATTTCCAACATTTGGTGGGCATGCTTTTAAACATCTTTGCTAATCTTGCTGGTGGTAAATGCCATCTATAAAACATTTTATATAATTTTTCCTTATATATAGTTGCCATTGTCAACTTACAATTTCTTTCTCAAAGCTTTTGCCATTTATCTAAATCTATAATATATCCAAAGTTTTTTGCCCATACTATCATTGTTTCTTTTACCTTCCATTCTTAAGCTTAACAAGAAATTGTATATTTTCTTTATCAACTTTTCATCTACTCCTAACATTATTTGGTCAAATATTGTAAGCTCTTTATAGAAACCATAATCCTTAATGTCTTTTTCATATCTCAATTTTATTTGCATATGCGGCAACCATGATAGGTCCACACCTTGATTCTGCAACTCTTGTTTGGTTTAAAGTTCCCCTTCCACATTTAAAATATCTTTATATGTTAAGATTTTTTCCAGATTTACTATATTTGGATGTATAAATGCTTCCATTGTTGAGAGCCAAACTAGAATTTTAATGTAAATTTTTGCTTTCACCTTTTCCCATACTGAAAGTAAAGCATTTCTTATATAGTGTCTTTGAAAGTATCTATGAGTTTTGCTTTTGTTATACCATAAAAAAGCATGCCATCCTAATTGGAGATCATGGCCTTCTATCAGCAGTAATCTGTTATGTCTAAGAGTTATCCATTCCCTCACCCATGTTAATACAGCTGCATGGTAATAGAGCTCCCAATCTGGTATTCCAAAGCCCCCATTGTTTTTGGACTCTTGCAACATTTTCAACCTTATTCTCGCTTTTTTTTCTTGCCAAACATATTTCAAAATTATAATATTTAATTCATCAAAGTCCCCCCCCCGCATTTGTGGGGGAGAGGACCGTTTAGAACAGGAAAAGTAACTTTGGCAAGATATTCATTTTTATAGTTATGATTCTCCCTACCATTGATAGCTGCATTTTTCCCCATCGATCTAAGTCTTTTTTAATTTGTTGTAACAGTCTTGTATAATTATTTTCCTTAATTGTAACACATCTTGCTGTTAAATATATTCCCAAGTATTTAACTTTCTTGACTATCTGAAAATCTAATTTCTTTGTCAATTCTCTCTTCTGGTTTTCTGTGAGATTTTTAGCTAAAATTTTAGTTTTATCTTTGTTTGTTTTCAATCCTGTGACTTTCCCATATTCTTCTATTATTCCCATTAATTTAGGGACTGTTTCCAGTGGTTCTTCTAAAATAAATAATAAATCATCTGCGAATGCTTGTATTTTTCCCTTTTTATTTCCATATGTTTATTTCTAAGTCTTGCCTAATATTTCTATTTAGCACCTCCAATGTTAATATAAATAGCAATGGGGACAATGGACATTCTTGTCTTGTGCCTTTTTTAATATTAAAATTCTCCTTTAAATCCCCATTAACTATTACTTTTGCCATTTGCTTACAATATATTGCCTTAATCATTTTTATAAACTTTTCGCCAAAATCCATATATTCTAACTGTTATATCATAAAGTGCCAATTTACATTGTCAAAGGCTTTCTGTGCATCTAAAAAGATCAGTGCCATTTGTTTTTCCCAGTGCACTTCATAATATTCCAATGTATCTAATATAAATCTTACATGGTTTTTGATTTGTCTTTTTGAAAGGAACCCATTTTGATCTGGGTGGATAAATTCATTCATAATCTTTTTAATCTCTCTGCCATTATTGATGCAAAAATTTTATAATCTGCATTTAGTAATGATATAGGCCTATAGTTCCTTATTATTTTTGGTCTCTTTATTGCCTCTGTCAGCTCCATCATTATTTTTTCATTTAACATATTTTTAATATTATCAATGACTTTCAGTAATTTGGCTTTTTCCAGGTATTGCATTATCCTTTCCTCCGGGATTTTTTCTTTGACATATAATTTTTCATAGTATTCCTGAATTATTTTCTTTTTAATCTCATTTTGGAACTGTAAGTTTCCTTTTCCATTTGGTAATTTGCTTATTGATCTCTTCTCTGTCTCTTTTTTTCAGTTTGTAGGCTAACCATCTTCCTGGTTTGTTTGCATTTTAAAAAAAGTTTTGTCTTGCTCTTTTAATACCCTGCGCCAATTCTTCTTTTTCTATTAAATTAAATTTTTTTTTTGTTATTTCCATTTGTTTTTTTTTAAGGTTTCCTTTTTTGGATCATTTTGCAGTTCCAATTCCAATTTTTTATATTCTCCTTCTAATGTCTTTTGGTTTTGTTTTTTCTTTCTATTCTTTCTCGCTGTATGATGTTTGTCCATCATGTTTGAAGAGGACCTTGACATCTAACAGGTTGAGGGCTGTCCATGGTGTGTCTGCAGGTGGCTGGGAAGGCCTATACGGGCACAGAATGTTCTGCCACTTGTAGGGCAGACATGTGTGGGCACCATTGTTGCAGTATTTGCAGCTCTGGCTTTCCGGAGTGCTTGCTTTTCTTGTTCTATGGTTGTTCTTTTGTCTTCAAATGTCTGGCAGCCATGGTGGATCAACATGTGCTATGTTGATTGATCTTGTGCCAGGGTTTCCCAGGAGGTGGTGTCGATATCCAGGGACTTGAAAGAGGCTTTCAACATGTCATTGTATTACTTCCTTTGTCCCCCATGCGATCGCTTTCTTTGAGACAGCTCACCATAGAGGAGCTATTTAGGGATGCGGTGGTCTGGCATCCTTGAAACATGGCTTGCCCAGTGTGTCTGGGCTTTCATCAGCAGGGTGTGAACTGATGGCAGGCCTGCTCTGGAGAGGTTGTGTCTGGCACCTTGTCCTGCCACCTGATCCTCAGAAGTCTGCAGAGGTAGGTCATGTGGAAGTGGCTCAATTGCCCAGTGTGCCTCCTGTATACAGTTCAAGTCTCACTGGCATACATCAGGGTAGTTAGCACTACTGCTCAGTAGATTTTGAGTTTTGTAGCAAGGCTTATTCCATGGCAGTCCCACACATTGGTCAGTAGTCTGCCAAATGCAGAGTTTGCCTTGGTGATTCTGCAATTGACCTTGATGTCAATTGTCACTGTGTGGGAGAGGGTGCTGCCAAGGTATGTAAATTGGTCCACTGTTTGCAGCTTTTGTCTCTTCACTGTGATGGTGGGCTCTTGGTGTTGGGCTTTCGGAGCTGGCTGGTGCATCACTTTGGTCTTCTTTGTGTTGATGAGGAAGCCAAAGTTGTTGCATGCAGCTGCGAATTTGTACAAATTTGTAACCTA